CTGTATTAGTCTTTTCCTTAGGTCGACTAATCTTAAAAATCCACACACATGGGGCTGGGGTTGTGGCTCAGTGGTAGAGCACTTGCCTTGCATGTGTGAGGCACTGGGTTCGATCCTCAGCACCACATAAAAATAAATAAAGATATTGCATACATCTACAATCTAAAAAAAATTGAAAAAATTTCACATACATTTGGGGATAATGATCAACACCTCCTGCCTGTATCACCACTGGCCCACACAGGCCAGCTGCCCATCACCATTCCATCCTTTTCTTTCACATACACTCTCCTACCTACTACACATCTGTGCAGACTGGAAGGTCTCAGATCTTCATGTGACCCCAGAGGGATAGACAAGAATGTAACTATGTATCCCAGCTCTCACACTGTGTCCGAAGAGGGACTATGACATTCACTGAGGGGTATTCAATAGTTCTGTCCCTCTTCTCTGCTCAGCCAGCCCCTTCTTTTGTATCCTGTTACCTCTTCCCATGGTCACCCATTTCTCTCAACTGTTTCCTTAGTTCCCTCCATGGGGAGAGGAGTCAGTTGGAGTGGTCAGAATCCAGCACAGCTGGCTGTGCTCTGCTGACTAGTGGGCAGGTTTACTGTGTCTTCATATGCATGGGTCTCTCACCTTCCTCTTCCCTTCCTCGCAGCAGGATGCAATGGCAGGTTCTAGATGACTCTGTTGGCTTACTCTCTCAACTTTCTTCCTGCTTATGCTCAGTCCCTTAGAGTGTTAAGATGGACATGAGGGGCCCTAGGCTCCACTGTGGTCTTTACCAGAGCACTGCGGTCAAGTGGTTAAATTTGTTCCCACTAGGAATACTTGGTAGTTTAAATTTTACTTATTCCTCCTTTTGTGGACAGCTCCTTCAGAACAGAAGATAAGCTGAGCAGGATTTGGGCATTGCTGGGTGCTTGGCTATAATATCAGCAATTTCGCACCCTAACCTTGTGGGTGCTGGCAATGGAGTAGTGTATCAGTTAGTGGTCCATGCAGGAAAGAGAGAGACACTGTATGTATCTTATGTAAAAACTATTCTCATGCAGAAAATGAGATGTTAGTAAAAATAATGGAAGGGTGGGGGAGAAAAAGCCTCACTCCCAGAATAACAACTCCTCATCCCTGTGGAAGTTACCACTTCTCAGGCCACTCCTGGAAATATTAAGTAGGAACATGTGAGAAATAGACAATCCTGGTGGTCCATTTTCAGAATACAGTATTTTGCTTTTTTTTTTTTTTGTACCAGGGATTAAAGTCAGGGGCACTCAATAACTGAGCCACATCCCCAGATGAAGCTCACAACTTTATTTATTTTATATTTTATTTAGAGACAGGGTCTCACTGAATAGCTTAGCGCCTTGCTGTTACTGAGGCTGGCTTTGAACTTGCAATTCTCCTGTTTCAGCCTTCCAAGCTGCTGGGATTACAGGCCTGCACCACCATATACAGCCAGTATTTAGCTTTAAAAGTAAAATGATCTCGGATGTAAGAAAGGCAGCTGGAGGGGAGAACAGAATGAAAAGTTCCAAGCAGTTATCACCAGAGTGTAAAAATTCACAGTCCCTTGATGAACAGAAGGTGAGAAGGAAAGGTCCCCCCACCTGACCAACAGAGATAATAAACTGTGTATGTGCCAAAAGGCACTCAATCCCAGGGGACTTTCCTGCCACCAGAGAACAAAGGGAGATGGGACAACTAAAGGTATATTTCTTTAAACAACCCTGTAGGAGACAGTAAAATCTAGGTGATGTTCAGGAAGATTGTGCACCCATAGTATTCAGCCATGAAGAACTGGGGAAGGATCTTGGGCTCTAGGGGATAAAACACTGGTTGTATCTAGACTGTGGGTCTGTGACCACCAGCCACCTGATCTTGCAAGACCAATATTAAAGTAAAGCCCCTCTTTTTGCTGTTCCTAATGTCTCTTAGTCCATTCTTTGGGCTTGGA